AAGCAAATTGCTTGTTTAAAATCCTTTTTTATTAACAAAACGTCATATTTACATTGCATATTTAATATACTAGTACTCAAAGATTTTCTTAATTTTGGCTTATAGGATTTTTGTATCTCATGAAGTATACTTTCTACTATTGAACAAGTTTTATTCAGTGAGTTTTCCTTGTAGTCAGATGCTGTCTGCGGTACAGGTTCCTGATGTATCTAACAATATTGGAGCTTCCTTATTTCAGGTTGGTGAGACATTAACAGCCATGACCCTGCGTGCAGAGTGTTTCCATTATAAGGCAACGATAACAGAGACATAATGTTGCCTAATATTATAAGCTGTACATTGAGACAGAGCGAATGCTTCAGACAGGGATACATAATTTTTCACAGTAAGAAATGAAACAACTGATTGTATGTGACAAAGGTGTCACTCTGTCGTTCATAATGTCTGCATCGTATTAATTGTAGTGCCACCAAAATTCACTATCATGCATAAAATCACATCTTATACTGCATGGTAAAAGAAAGCATCAGGAATATTGCTGTTTTATTTGTGTAAACCTTGTGACTCAGGTTCATTAAACTGATGGAATATGCTCATCTATGTTCTCTCAATTATTGTCTCACATCTTTCCACTGTAGCAAACCAAATAACATGTTGGATTTCAACCACAATATCCTTTTTAAAGTAATAAATGTGGTATTAAACAACAGCAGCATTTTGCTATTTTGTTGAGGGGTGTTGTGCTCCTATTTACGCATGTATTTTCACATTAATTATTGAAAGGGGGATTATTTTTCTGCCAAACCAACCCAGAGAAGATATCCCTTGAAACTTATTGTAGAGCATTGTACGGAGTGCACTCAATAGCCACCTAAATTTGGTAGCTGTTTTACTGCAGTGCATGCCACTGAGCAGCTCATTTGAGGAGGAAGATAAACTGGTGAGACAACAATGAGGGGGAAACAGATTGTGAACAAATTAAAAGAAGAATATGTAGAGAACCAAAGGGAATTTGATGTGAGAAGAAAAACAGACCAGCAAGGAAAGTAGGACACAAAAAAATTGTAAAATAGCAACTAGCCCTTTCAGTCATTATTCAGCCTATGTCCACAATCAATCTTCTCCACTGCCCTTCACACAAAAAAGATCAATTTGGCAGGCAATTTGCTTTAGCAGGGTTTAGAATTGGTTGGCAATTCTTGATTGCCCGATTTGCCCTCCTGTTCAAGGCCAATTTGATCCTTAGTAGTTGGTAAATTGCCAGAACAAGTTAACTTTAATTATTTTGAAAGAAAGCCAGGAGTATCTGCAGGCCTGTGATTGTGAGTTTCAATGAAACAGCAACCTGGTTAATACACAGAGAGCTTTTTCAGATTACAGTAAAGTAATGCATCCCATAAACACAAATCTGTTCCCTGCAGCTGCCGGCTGCACGTACTGATATCAGAGCACTTTGTGCTGCAATTAAAACTAAACAACTGAGCTAACTCACAGTAGAATTTCTCATCAATCATTGAAACTTGTGTAGATACCTAATATATTTGTGATTAGCCAAATATTCTACATTAATGATGTATAATAAAATTGGATTATAAGAAGACCATAAATACAGATTATCCTTAACTTTAATGCTGGTTAACTAAAGCTATTTTCAAACTGGTTGTAGAAGATTTTAAAGCAATCAATATTACCAACATAAATTAGGGTTTATAGCCAAACGTTAGAAAATAGCTTTGACACAGATACTGTGATTTGCACAGCATGCATACCTGTTTCTAAAATGAAAGAGGATCACAATTTCAAAACCAGAAGTAGTAAAGTGAACCACAGTGAAGGAACCTTTGGATAAGAAGAGTTCCTCCTTTGAGGTAGCAAGTGTTCTGGTAATATTTTACACTGTGATTGTTTTAGTCTAACTTCTAATTAAAGACATATCATGGGGACTAACATTTCTTTGGATTGAGTGAAGCTGTTTTAAAATAAGTTGCCTGTACAGAAATTTACTGGCACTTTCCTGAATCTACTAATTTGCATGGTATAAAACTAATGTAAAACTGGAATTGAAGCAAATGAAAATTCATATGTAGCCTTTAAAATCAATGTCCAGGCTGCACACATCAGGACCAGCCTAAGGGCAAGTAAGTAAAGAATGAAGAATCCATTGCTGTTTCATTCCACTCCTGTAACTTCACTGAATACTTATGTATATTTTGTGTTTTTATAATATTTTTGGGAATGTATTACAATGTGAGTATGCATGGCATAAAGTCAGAGAAGAATAGAGAATTCATTCATTCACAGTTCCGAATTATCATTAAGCCCTGAAGGTTAACTAATACATCTGGGTAAAAAAGGCTTGTTCAGTTTCCTATGTTACATCCTGGCAGAATGAAAGTAAAATCAGTTGTAGTTTCACCCTATCTCGAATCAGCGTTATACCCAATGGGCAGGCAATCTTAAATTGGATGCTTATCTGTTACCCTGCAGAACTAAGAAGCACATCAGAAGGAAGGTGCTGATGGTGAAGAGGTTGATTAGCAAAAAGCCATCCAGACATCATAGTTGCATGATACTTTTGTTTCTTAGGACAGCAGCAAACATCAGACCCCATGCCAGTGGAAGGGGGAAGCAACAATAAACTGTTTTAGAACAAGCAAACAGGAGAGAACGGTCTCCTGAGTCCCGTGACCCTTTTGCACAGTATGAAGGGTGAACCACCTTCTGCAATTCTGACCCAAAGTTGGCACATAGAAGAAAGGTTAGAATAGGTGATTATGAAGATATGTGTTTCAGCACCCATGGAAGCACAACGTAGGCAAGGAACAGAGTGGTGGTGTACACTTTGAAAGTTTAGTATTGATCTGCACTTAAGTTAGTTAAATGGAAAAGTATGCATACATTTCATGCCAATTCATGTCACAATCTTTTCCAGGTGGACAAGCTGTCAAGTTGGAGGAGGTCTAGTTAGGTTGACAGAGTGGATTTTTGTTTACAAACAGAGGAGAAGGAGATCAGGCTGTAATGTTAAAGGTGGATTATGTTACACAGAAGAGAAGACTTCAGAGATGAACAGTGATGATTCCGTGTAATCATCACTGATAACTCCCCTGATTGCTGGTTAAAATGATCATCTCTTCTGTGTAGTTATGCCTACTGAGCAAGGACCTTCCTATCAGTCACATCCTGACACATGAACTTGTGAAAAGCACGTGGAACTATATCTATTCTTATCACATGATCTGGGATGCGCAGCTGAACCTGTGCAGACAGAAAAATCTTGCTTTAATATCCTAATAGTCTTTTTGTAACCTTCCTGGTAAAAACACGTGCCTCATTGTAGTGCTCCTCTGTTGCTATTTGGGCCATTCTTAGTGGAGTTATTAACCATAGGAGCGGGAAGCATGCTTTGTTATGCATAAATTATCTGTTGATTTGAATCTTTTCATTAAAAGAGTCAAAAAGGGTCAAATAATGAAAGAAGAACACTTGATGACAACTTCCTGCATAACAGGCATTGATATAAAGAACATTAGTGGAATGGAAACCAAGTGGATGATCTTTGGATGTTCTCAATTCAGTGGGAATGTCATTAATTGCATATTACTGTGATGAAAGATGTATAATTTATATATATTATAACCTATTTTAGATTTTGAATTTTGAACTTGTGGCATATAGGTTTTCTGTGTGTTTGCAATGATTTATTGATTAACTTGTTAGAATTTCTGTAGCCAGGGTGATTTACTTTAAAAAACAGTATTTGGGGGCAACTTCCTAGAAGTAATGGGGTTTTGTTTACATTGGGAGAGTTACAAGTGAAAAAAAGTAAAACATTAGGCTTTCAGATAGATCATTCAGGAATTTTTCTTTGGGCTTAAAGGCATCACCCAAAGCTTGAAAAAGAGCTTTTGGGTTTCCATATGGCCATTTGTAAAAGTCTTGGCTTAGAGGTTTTAGAAGATAAATGCATAAAACATTTGTTCCTGAGAAAGTGAAGTAGTTTATGACTATGAAGAAAGAGGTTACTTCAGTATAAGGAGTTTAGTTTAGAGATTCCAGGCCAGAAGTGTTTGCTTAAAACCTTGAAGGGGCTGTTTGAAGCTGAGGAAGTCTAATCTCAGTTGTGTGAAAGAAGCTATCAGATTCTCAAGAACAGGGACTTGAAGCCACAGTTAAATTAAGCCTTGTGAATAGGAAAGAGAAAGGAATTCTCTCTGACATGAATACTATAAAAGAATGTTTTTTCGGGGATTAATGGGATTGTATTTTACCATGCATTTTGAATTTTTTATATTTATATTGTATGTAAATAGTCTGGTTCATTTTATTTAGACTTTATTTCTTGTCTGTAATAAACTTCTATTTTATTGTTAAAACCAGATCTGCGGCATTATGCATTTCAGTGAAAGACCAGCTTGTTAAAACTAAAAATAAAACTATGATCTGTCAAGTCATATTTCAATCTGTGATCTGACTTGTCCAATATTAACATTAGCTAAGATCATAAGACTATTACTTAGAGAATCTAGAAACTATACAATGGTTTGGCTTTATTTTTTGATTACCTGAGTTTAATAACAAAAGTGATGATAACCTGCTCTACTTGAAAAGTATTAATGACACAATGAATGTATGCCTTTACTCCTGTGCGGCTCATTGATGCATTGTCACCACCCCAACACAGGTCCTCTGCCATTGATGTTTTGATGGTGAACACTTCATAGCCATTGACAGAACAGAGTGAGGAGGTAATTACAACTTTTTGCAGCAGTTCAAAGTTGTAATTTGTGTTTTTGCTGATGTACCCTTTGTCTATGCACATCTCCTCAGAAAGTTTATCACAAGACCCTATGGTGCCATATATTCAATGGAGTGGTTATAACGTGTGGACCACTTCCTCCATAAATGGTGCCTGACTTTTCTTAGCTCCTTCCTGAGTTCCTTCTCTCTGTTTCTATGATAATGCACATGTTATGTCCATGGATAATGCCATTACTTGCCTCTCTTGATGTGGGTTTCCCTCTGAAGAACTCATTGTTTTTTGAGTTGTGAGGTGGGTTGAATCGGGGTTGAAGGAAAATACATCCGTTAGCAATGGCTTCCAGAGGGGCAGGTCCTTCATATGGGAACCCCAATCCAATGAAGAGCTAGAGAATAAAAGCAAAAGCAAAGATAAAGATAATTAGGAATGAAAGGCTGATATGACAATAGTCAAGCAGGAAAATACCCAGACCGGGAGGGACACAGGCAAATCTCTGGGGCATTGTAGGCAAGACTTGAGAGCTACTGTGGAGCAAATTTCATCCTGTCAAGGTCAGCACAGTTGGCTTTAGCTTTCAATGTACCAACACACCTCAAGGAACTTCACTTCACAAAGAAACATGTTAAGGCAGATCATTAAGTATTTAGTAAAGGAGATGGGTTTTTATTAATGCTTTAAGAAAGGAAAGAGAAGTCAAGATGTTTAGAGAATCCTAGAGCACATAACCCCAGCAGCTAAAGGAGCAAGCCCCATTGGTCATGTGTTTAGGTAAGGCCGTAAGATTAAGACCATGAGACATAGGAGCAGAAATTAGGCCATTCAGCCCATCAAGTCTGCTCCACCGTTCAATCATAGCTGATAATTTTCTTAACCCCATTCTTCCCTGTAATCCTTGGTCCCCTTGACAATGAAGAACTGATCTATCCCTGTCTTAAATATACTCAATGACCTGGCCTTCACAGCCTTCTGTGGCAGTGAATTCCATAGATTCACCACTCTCTTGCTAAAGAATTTTCTCTTTATCTCTGTTCTAAAAGGTTTTCCCTTTACTCTAAGGCTGTGCCCTCGGGTCCTAGCTTCAAAGTTTAGTTTATAATTGACTATATTTTAAAGAGCAGATTTGGAGGAGTTCAGAGAATTGTAGGGCTGGAGGAGATAACATGGGGCAAAATCATAGGTGACTTTAATATGGTGAAGAGACTTATAAAATTGTTGCTTAATTGAGAGCCAATATAAATCAGCGAGCACAATGTCGATGGGTGAACAGGACTAGACACAAGATAGGGCATGGGCAGTGGAGTTTTAGATGAACTTATAATTGATTGGGGGTTGAAGCTGGAAGGCTGGTCAGAACAGCGTTGGCAGAGAAACAAAAGTAATTGCTTTGGCCTTCTCAATATTTAATTGAAGGAAATATTGGCTGACCAATCTTTCAAGGTAGGATTGCTGCCAGGTGTGGGTCATTATGAGATGTGTTTCCATCACTTCAATCTGGCTCATGGCTCCAACTTGTTCTCCTGTTTCAATCTCATTGCAGAGTGGTTTCCTAGTGTTATCTCCCTTCTGAAGTGATTGCAGTAGGCGTGCAATGCAGCACCTTGAGCTGGTGGATCAAGGCGTAGAGAGAAGAAATGTGGCCCTCAAGATGTTTCTTTGCTCTGAGTGAGTTACCGAAAGGCCAAACAGGTACAACAGTTTGGAGATATTAATTTCTTTTCCTTAATTTTAATGGCCACCATATTCTCCTCACCATCTTCTCCTTTCCCATCTGCCTCTTCATGAAGATACAAAAGCAACAACCTGGACAAATTGCTGAAGTTCCAAGCTTTACTTTTTAACTATCATTTACCAGTGGTATAGTTGGAAATAGGATGGCATGTGAGACAGTGAATGACATACCAGAGATAATTCTGATTCAGAGGATGCAGTGCTAGATTCCTCTACTCTATTTACTTCTGAACAATGTTGTGGGTCTGCCTTCATATGTGTGGTATGCTGCTGGGAAATATCCATTTGAAACTAATATGTCATTTGGAAAATACAAGAATCCATTGCTATGAAAGTAGCAGGACATTTAGTAATGGCATTACCGACACTGAATGTCCCACTATCAACACCCTGGGGAAGGTTCCATTGACCAGAAATTAAACTGGATTCATCATACAAATACAATGGCTACTAAAGCATACTAGAGGCTAGGAATCTTCCAATGTGTAACTCACTACCAAAATCCCCAAAGTCTTTCCACCATCTACAAAGCACAAGTTAGGAGTGTGATAGACTACTCCCCACTTGCCTAGATGAGTGCAGCTCCAACAACATTCAAAATGCCTGACACCATCAGAACAAAGCAGACTACCTGATTGGCATCACATCAGGAAACATTCACTTCCTTCACCACTCAGAAAGACCAGTGTGTATATCTACAAGATGCACTGCAGAAATTCACTGAGTACCTTTCAAATGCAAGACCACTTGTGTCGTATTTGGACTTCCAGAAGGTGCTCATCAAGGTACCTTTTGGAGGTAGTATGTTGGCATGAGTAGAGAATTGGCATATGGGCACGAAACAGGTAGTGGAGATAAGGGGTTCTTTCTCAGGCTGTGAATCTGTGACCAGTGGGGTTCCACAGCGATCAGTGCTGTTCACAATATATATTAATGAGTGTGAAGAAGAATGTGGATGTACTGTAGCCCAATTTGCAGACAACAAAAAAAGGTATAAAGGCATGAGGGATAAAAACAGTTCACAAAGAGATATTGATCAGTTATGTAAGTGGGCAACAAGTTGGCAAATTGTTTATAATGTGGGAAAATGTAAATTTGTTAATTTTGGAAGGGAGAACAAAAAGAATAGAATATTATTTAAATGGAGAAAAACTGCAGAAAGCCTCAACACTTGGAGGTACTTGTACATGAAACACATAAAGCTAGCACACAGGTGCAACAGGTAATCAGGAAGGCTCATGGGGAATGTTGGTCCTTACTTAAAGGCATTGGAATAGGAAGTCTTACTGCAACTGTACAAGGTGCTGGTGAGACCACATCTAAAATATTATGCAAAAACTGAAGTTGCTGGAAAAACTTTGCAGGTCTGGCAGCATCTGCGAAGAAAAATCAGAGTTAACGTTTCGGGTCCAGTGATGCTTCCTCAGAACTGATGGTAGCTAGGAAAATGTCTGTTTACGTGCAGAAGACAGGGAGGGGGAGGGGATAAGGAGTAAATAATAGGTGGGGATGGAGCCCAAAGACAGAGAAGAGCAGTTGGATAGACAAAGAAATTGATAATGATCTGGTTAGGAGGATGAATAGTGGTTAAAGGGATCTGTTAGTGACTAACAATAGGTAGTCTGTAATGGCAGACTATGTGATAACAAGGCCTTGTGTATGGGGTTGGGTCTAAGACATGGGAGAGCTTAGGCTCTAAAATTATTGAACTCGATATTGAGTCTGGAGGGCTGCAGGGTCCCCACATGGAAAATGAAGTGTTGTTCTTCCAGCTTGCACTGAGCTTCATGGGAAAACTGCAGGGAACAGGGTGGCGTGTAAAAGTGGCAGATAACAGGTAGCTCAGGGTCTTTTTTGCGAGCAGAACGTAGATGTTCTGCAAAGCGGTCACCCAGTCTATGCTTCATTTCCTCAATGTAGAGGAGGCCACATTGTGTGCTGCTTCACCTGAAAGGTATGTTTGGGCCCTTGGATAGTGGGGAGGGAGGAGGTAAATGGGCAGGTGTTGCACCTTCGCTGGATACAGGGATGCTGGGAAGTCCTTGGTTGAGGAAGAAGGTGGACATTTCAGAGCTAATAGCTTTCCCTTGTCGAAGTTGGCCTCACCTGAACATATATGGTGGAGATGGAGAAATTGAGACAATGGGATGGAGTTTTTACGAGAAGTAGGGTGTGAGGATGTATTGCCCAGGTAGCTGTGGGAGTTGGTGGGTTTATAGTGGATATTAGTGGCCAGTCTATCCCCAGAAATGGAAACATAGATGTTGAGGAAGGGAAGGGAAGAGTCAGTGATAGACCTGGTGAAAGTGAGGGCAGGGTGGAAATTGAAAGCAACATTGATGAACTTTTCCAATTCTGGACGAGAGAGGGAAGCAGCACCGATGATATCACTGATATGTCGGAGAAAGAGTTGTGGGTGGGGGCTAGGATAGGACTGGAACAAGGAATGTTCCGTATACCCCACGAAGAGACGGGAATAACTGAGCCCCATGCAGGTACCCATTGCCACCCTTCTCAAGCCAGGAGGTTATGCCCCGCCCCTTTTTGAATCTGCAATAGATTAATACTAATGAACGCATTCTGCTTGACATGGAATGGATAGAACTTGTTCTTTTCAGAAATTGGAGACACCGAAGGCTGAACACTTTTCAATGTTGCAACATAGTGATGGATGAGGCATCCTCAACCCATCAAGCCCTCCATCAAAAACACATTAAAATAATGGGTTGAAGGGGCAATTCAGGTTATAGTAATGAAAAGAAGGTTTAAATGAGAGCGTGAAACTAATAGCTTTCCCTTGGTGATGTTTGTGTCCTTGTCTTTCCTTTTAAAAGAACCAGTGATCAAACCACTACCCGAGGAATTGGGACCACATGACCAGAGATAAATAAGACCTAACAGATCATTTGATTGTATGGGAGTCAAAAATGCATGACATGGTTTTGGGACACTAATGTAAGTGTGCAAAAGTGAATGTTACCTCGGAGGGAACAAACATGAGACAGTAAAAAGCATGCACTGGAAAACGGGTCTCAGACAAGTACACCTACTTGACAAAAGCACTTGTGTGGCTTGGAAGAGCATGAAAACATAATTTAAATGAATAGACACTGACACGAAATCTATAGAGAAACTGAATTTAAAACGATGTAAGTAGTATTAGTGAAAAGGATGTAAAAAGTATTACAATCAAAATAAAAAGTGCGATTGGTTATTATATCAAAATGTTATAGCAGTGAAAGAATGTTGATTCAGGAAGGATTAATAGTGGACTCAGCGAAAGGGCCCATGGGATGACATACAGATATCTCATCTTGAAATTTGTATGATTAAACTAGTAGGTGAAATTGTAATGTGTTAGGACAGTTAGTGTATGTGAAAGTAGGCTGAGCTAAGACTCAGGTGGTGTAGGAGGCTGTGGTAAGGGAACCCCAGGGAAAATAAAAGCCAGGAAGCATAAGTTGAAGGTAAAGCCTGATGAAAGTTGGAGCTGTATTGTTTGATCCCATGTGTATTGTAGCTCAAAGGGGGTACCTGCATATGGAGATAGTTACCACTCAATGATACAATTATTCATAAAATTAGCATGGAGGGAAACATATTGAAGAAGTATCCTCAAGACAGAAACAGATGAACAGAGCTGGAAAAACTTTGAAT